CTAGATGGGGAGACAAGTAATAAGTTCTCCTATGCTCGGGGAGAACGCAAGAAGAGTTTCTCTTGATGGACAAAATGGTGGAAAAGGTATCGAGGTCAAGGGGAAGACATTACTCATAAAAAAGTGAAATGGTCCCTACCACGTTACGAATAGAGTTCAGGTGTAACTGATCTATGGTAATGTCGAAAGACTTAAGGACCTCAATGATCAAAGGATGCAAAGGAAGGCGAAGACCAGCCACGAGCTGCTCCTCAAAAATCACGATCTCACTATGATCATGTTCCCAGGGGAAGTTACCGGAAGGAAGGCTGTAGGAGAACTCCCTCGGGAGGTTGTACCGGCGAACTAAGGCCTGAAGCCAGTCCAAAGTCATTGTCGAAGGGCCAAAGTGGTCCGACACCCGACCTTGGTCAGAAGTGGATGCCAGACTACCCGAGGTCTCTCGCGCCTCCCGAGGTGCCTGAACCTCAGGAGGGCCGCGAATAGCCTCTAAGCCCGAGGTAGCCTCGTTCCGACTACCAACCTGGGCCGAGGTACCCTCCTCGGCCTCATCAAGAAGGCTATCGAAACTGAAGGAAGACATGGAATTAAATGGAACTGAACAAAACTGAAAGGAAAAGCAAAGGGAGACTCACCAAAGAGAAATGACCGAACTAGGAGAGGATGGCAAACTAGAGAACCCGAGCTAAAGAAGCCAAGCGCGACTTAAGATCGAAGACTAGCAAGCTTGTGGCGAAGAAAATGAGTCCCGGGTCTTCCTATTTATAGCCATTGTGCCAGAGAAGCAACGGTCAAGATTCAAGCGATTTGACGGCTCCTGAGAAAACCGGCTGCACGTCCCTCGAGATCAAAAACAATTTAGATTTAGCGCATTTTTTGGCGTCCGCGAAGCCTATAGATCACTTGACGTCCACGCGTAAATTGCACGTGATCCATCCGACATCAGCTAGACTTCGAGCCAAATCCACTTGGCACACCGTGAACTCCTCAAACCAGGTCAAGACCCCTAGCTTGAGGAGTGGGGGGCAATTGATGGAGGATCTGGCCCGACCTCCTGGTAAGGAGACACATGGACTTGACTCTGCGTGAGGGACAACTCGACGTAACCAGATCGGCACGTGGACGTGACTCGACACAAGTGACAACTCAGCATAAGTCAGCTCAGTACAAAGCGAGCTCGGGTACGCCAATACCCCGAACTGAAGTCACTTCAGGACGAGCACACCTCAGCACAAGATTACACTGAGATCACCTCGGCCCGAGGGCACTTTGGCGTTTATGACAAGGGCAAACCAAAGCATGAGCTCGAGAAGCTCGCTACCAAGCAGCCTGATATCCTACAGGTAGCTCGCCTACCGTACAGATCTCTGCATGGCAACCTCGAGGATTACACCCCCATCCCTGAACCCCACAGGACCGTACTTATAACGGTAACATTAGTTCACCAACTCCCCGTTTTGATGGGAAATGACAGTGTTACCGTTTGGCGGCGTTTCAACCACCTAACACGCGACAGGTCCCATCGTAACAGGGGTTCAGTGACCGTTCCACCTACCCACCTGAGCTTGTGTATAAAGACCCCACTCTCACCAGGGGCGAAGGTACGTTCGATTATCATTGTTGTGTGTGTAATCTTCACTCTCTAAGCTCTCTCACTATTATCATCTTCAAGCTCTCTACAGTCACTGTATTCTAACTTAGACATCGGAGTGTCCACGCCGGGTGAGCCACACCGGGACCTCTAACTCATCTCTTTCAGGAACCCATTCTTATCGTTGCTGGAAGCCAAGTCATATCCACCAGGGAGTAGCCGGATTACGCCACATCAGGTATTAACTCTCATTTTCTCTTATTAAATATTATATTTAAGTTATTTTCTACTAATCGATGTTATCATCTTCAAGCTCTCTACGGTCACTGTATACTAACTTAGACATCGGAGTGTCCACGCCGGGTGAGCCACCCCGGGACCTCTGACTCATCTCTTTCAGGAACCCATATCATCGCTGGAAGCCAAGTCATATCCACCAGGGAGTAGCCAGATTATGCCACATCAGGTATTAACTCTCATTTTCTCTTATTAAATATTATATTTAAGTTATTTTCTACTAATAGATGTTATTAATTAGATTTATGTCAATATTTTTAATAATATAAACTCATATATTTTAAAATTGGCTCAAAAGCAAAATCATTTTTATTTCAGTGGTGGCTAAGCAATTCCATCATCCAAATCAAATTGATCAGCTTATAAAGTCATAGTTAGGTGATAAAATTTATAAAATATGAATAAAAATAAAAAATTACAAAAATGTAGAAAAAATAATATACATTTATGATATTTTTATTAATCAAAATGAAAAAAAAAGTGTAATAAACAAGAATTATTTTTATTGATAATGAAAATAAAATACATAATTTAGAACTAACCAAAAAAATAAAATCAATTTACTGTTTGGCAAAAATCAATAGTTCAACTTTTGAGACAAATATGTTAACATTTAATGTCATAAATAAATAATAAAAATTAATAAAAAATAAAAATATATAAATTCTAAAAAAATCCAAGCACATATATAATATCATATAATTATCATATTAAACAAGAAGTAAGTGTGACATATCAATATTATTTGTACCCATAGAAATACAAAAAAATTATTGAAAAAATTGAACACATCTATAATTCTACATTTATACTACTATTAAAAATATGAATAAGATTGTAGAACTTTTTTTTGACTAAAATACTCATTTTTTAATTTAGTCTATATTTAATTATGATGTTTAAATTGTAAATTGAACTACTACTTTTCACTTCATTCAATTCTTTATTTATTTTTTGATAAATTAATAAAAAAAGATACACTCAAAAGATAAAACATACAAAAAGAAGAATCTAGCCAAGTAGGTAGGCTTGTTAATGATATTTGAAACTTCACAACTCGATCTGATTATCACATATTTGGATGAGGTATTTATGTAATATTTGGATTTTGCAACCTGCATCCGATTAATAATAAAAAATAAAAAGTTGAAATACATATTTATAAAAATTTTTGGATATATTATTAATATCATTGTCATCATTTAGAATTGCCACGTGCAAAACACATGCACGTTTATTAGTTTCATTAAAAATTGAGTGGAATAAATCGAAATAATTGATTGAAATTTGAAATTGAATAATTTTTTATTAATATTGAGTTTCATTGCATATATTGAATATAAGAAAAATCTATGATGAGAAAGGCATGATATCGGATAGGCTTTTTATCAATCAAAAACTCCCCATGAATGAAAATCCATGTGATTATTAATTAAATTTTCAATTCTAAAAACCAAATCCAAAATATCTAAAAAATGAATTAATTGAACTGAAATTTCATAATACCAAAATAACAGAACTGAAAAACCTAAACTGAAATTTTCAGTTCAATTTTAACCAAATAATAGTATTGCAAACAAAAATGAGGATCCTATTATCAAAAAATAAATAAATAATGGGGATTTTATTTTCAATGTATTGTCAAGGTCATATTTGCTCACAATAAAAAACTGCTCCAACACATTTCAACATGATTTGCATCTACATATTGTAGACACGGTAGCCGGTAGGTCCCAGTTTCGTGGTGGTTCTGCATTATCATAGTAGATTTGGATAAAGATCTACTACCAACAAAATGTTCTCAACACTGTCCCAACAAATGACTGCAGTTGCATGTTAGTAACATCTCCTTTGTTATTCTCGGGAAGATATTCTCAATGTATGGCTGCAAATGGAATGTTGTTGGCACTGTGTATTAATAACTTCCAAGCAGATTTGAACGTTTTCTCTTTTCCTTTTTTTTTCCTTGGTGTGCTTTTTTTTTGTTTTTTTTTTCCTCTTACATTTTGTTAAAGAATTGGACTTTATTAGCAAAGCTCTCGTATTGGCAAGGTACAGTTTGCGAAGGATTTGCTTATTTGACAATAAGCTCATTTAGACAGATTGTTCATTTGACAATAAGCTCATTTAGACAGCACTAGTCTGATCCTAACAACTAGTTAATAACCCATAGGGATGAAAATGGACCAAAGTCCGATCCTAGATTCTCAAATCTTTGGATCAGATAAATAATAGAATTATAGAAATATTATTATTTATAATACATTTTTGTAAATTTGTTATATTATTTATTTGTTTTTCTTTATTTAAATTGTTATATTTTATTTTTCTTTTAATAATTTATATTATTTTTAAATCAAATTGAATCGAATCAGATCCATAAATCCAACTTCCTCATCAATTTCAAATCCAGATCCATGCTTATCAGATTCAATTAGATCTTCAGATCAGATTGGATCTACATTTAACAGTGTCAGACCATATTCAAATATACCCTGATTCGAATTTGATATGATCTATTTGCATCCCTAATAACCCGTTTACATGGCAACTGTAGCATGTGAATGCATTTTCTATTTGACATTGCTATTCACGTAATAAACCTTGGAAGATTAAGTTAGCTTTTTTTTTCTTAATTTTATTTAAGGCTCGGTTTGGAAGGAGTACAAATACAAATATGTAGAGAGCAAAGTCTTGTATGTTGTATTATTTTGTATGTATTTGTATTGTATATATTTATATTTATACTCTTTCCAAACTGAGCAAAGGAACTAATTCGTAGGACTGTCAATAGATCAAATTCAATTAGGTCGAATTTGGACACCATGATTTGATTTAAAAGAACACGCACTGTTGGATTGAATTTGATAACCCATAACCATCAAATACAACAAAGAGAAGGTTTTGGTAGCTGATGTATGGTTTTTTCTTTATCTAATAAAATAACAAATACAATTGTCATGTATAAAACTTAATTACTCTACTGATAATTACCTACCATGCTGATCTCAATTTGGTAGGTCCCACCATGAATTTCTTTCTACTCTAAGGATCATTACCTAACAATAATAATAATAATGATGTTAGCTTGATACTAAATTGAATCCAATACTAAAACAAACAGGATTTGATTTTCCAATACAAAACTGGGAATGGATTGGATTCTATCATACTTTGGGTTGAATTGTAATCGAAATTCAATCCATTGGAACTCCTTGTTACAATCCATTTGTTCCATGTTGGTAGTATGGGATGCTAATGTGAGATATCCCACATCGGTAGAATGAGATGCTGTTGTGGGGTATACATGTACTTGGGTTCCCTCCCTCTAACAGCTAGCTTTTAGGGGTGAGTTCTCTTAAGGCACATAACAAATGGTATCATAGCCTACACTATGCCTCCCAGTTGCAATCGTGTGGCACAGGTGGTGACGTCGGTATTGCAATTCTCGGCCGGGACTAAGTGGACTAGTGCAAAGCCAACTTGCATGGGTGCCGGGACTGCGAAAGCGTAGTGGGATGTTACGATCCATTTGTCCCATGTTGGTAGTATGGGATGCTAATGTGAGGTATCCCACATCGGTAGAATGGAATGCTGTTGTAGGGTATATGTGCTTGGGTTCCCTCCCTCTAACAGTTAGCTTTTAAGGGTGAGTTCTCCTAAGGCACAAAACAGTCCTACCATCAAAAGGCTAATCAATGTCTACAATGCAGAGAGCATCAATGGTGAGTCATCATGGGAGACCTCAAAAGTACCTAGCAGTTCATATTTCAAGACAAACACAAACATACAGGCAAAATGGTTGAAGGTCTCAGATGACTTGTCCCACCCCCTGTTTGGCATATTCTAAACCGTGGAGCAACATTGAAGCTGCAGAATTCTCTGCATCCTTTACTCTTGTCTTTTCATCACCTGATGTAACAAACATGCCATCGGCAATTTCAACTTGGACGGAACAGATGAATCTCCTATCATGGGCAGGACCAACTACCTTCTCGATGCTGCAAGTTCAACCAAATAAGAAACAAGAACCAACTACCAACTGTTATTTCTTGTATGACCAGAAGATGAAATAAGCAAGCAAAAAACTAGCGAAAGAAACGCACACCCAAAAAGATGGGGATCAAAAGGGTAAATTGCTTAAACCTCCCTTGTGTTTCATGGATGGTAAAAAACTCCCTTCTGTTTTCAGGGGTCAGTAGTGTCAGAGTCGGATCGAAAAGTCAGAAAGAGAGAGAGAATAGAACACAGCCGAATGGTGGGTGTGACACCTTGTTTCAGTCCACACCCTAAAAAATATATTTATATTAAAAGGTAAAAGGACAGAACTGCCCTTAATGTACAAAAGAGAGACTACAAATAATAGTTATACAACCAAGGAAAAAGTACAAAAAATAGCCCTGCGACTAGATTTCAGTATCTACAAGTAGCATCCATACCTTTTGAATTTTGATTATTTGTTTAGTACGTTACATTTTCAATTTTCAAAGTTACCCCGCAAATCACTTTACTCTTTCTTCACATCGTATTTCGACAAAGCAGGCTCTCACATTGCCAATTTTTTGGCAGCAGATAAAACATTCTCATTTTAAGAACAAATAATCCCCACCTCAAGAACCTCAGCTACGCTTACAAACTCTTCACTCCCATGGGTTGTCCCTACAAATATTTCATCAGAGATGCTGTGTATGTTTTTTATATCAAAGTTTAGAAGGCTGTACAGCATATCCCAACTTATCAAAATGTTTCATCGATTTTGGCTAAGATCTTAACATCACACCAAAGGGGTATATATATGCTACTAACGTTGAAAACTGAAGGGCATGTTTTTACCACACGTGAAATGTAGGAGGTTAAAGCAATTGTCAGAAAACACGGGAGGTTTGAGCAATTTATCCTTAAAAAAGGATTCATTTATTTCAACCAATGAACTCTAGTTGTTGAGTTGATTCACACACGTGAAATGTAGGAGGTTAAAGCAATTGTCAGAAAACACGGGAGGTTTGAGCAATTTATCCTTAAAAAAGGATTCATTTATTTCAACCAATGAACTCTAGTTGTTGAGTTGATTCACCTGTGAATCAGTATACTATAAAATTTAGAAGGAAAAGCGAAACATCATCAAGACATCAAGTCAGAGTCAGGTGTATGTTGAGAATATCAGAAGTCCCAGCAAGTTGAGAAAGAAGGCATTTCGACATTAACAAATGCTTAGCATGTCATATTTTAAGTTCTCCAAGTCAACATACAGACAATGCAGTATCTTACAATATGCTTATCCATTTATCCAATGTGTCTAATGAATTTCAACATTCTTGATGCCATGTAAAGCTAATAAAAACTGCTACCACAGAGATAAATTAAAAGCACGAAGATGGAATCATTTAATTAGACAGACAAGCTTCAACCTTTAATAATGTTCAGTTCACTAAAACATTTGGAACAGACATGGGGAAAATTGAATTCTACAAATAAATAGAATGACTAGTACATAATATTTTAATTAGGATTTGAAAAGACAGACTCCAATTATTGACCATATCTGCATGTGAATCTCTAAGTTCCAAATGGATTATATTAAATATTAAATAAGCATTATAGGAAATTTCATTATGGTAATGTTAAGCCATCAAAATGGGTGACTAATATCCAGCAGAATCCATTTGCATATTCACACACATATATCTTTTGGAAATTTCAATATTTTTGACAAACATGCACAGATCCAGGACAGAGTCATATATGCATAAATATCTCTTTCTAGATCCAGCATTTTATTTTTTTAATGGTATCCATTTCATTATACTAGTGCACCCCAAAAATATTGAAAATCTATAAGATTGAAAGCATAAATTCAACACAGTTTTTTTTTAATTGCTAATAAACAAAGAGATATGCAACCTATGCTACTATCTTAAGTGAAGCAATTTTCCCCTTTTGGTGAGTCTGTACACACAATTTGCCAACATTTTTCATTTATTATCCTTACTCAAGAAGCAGTCCCCCCATCCACACACACTCCCTCTCTCTAACCAATTCCACTCCCAAATCCCATGTTACATATGAAGTATTGCGTGTAAAGAAGGCCATTACCTAATGTTGGTCCCAGCACTTTGGGGTCTTGGGAGGGGTGGGTTGGATATGGTCCTAACCTTAAGTGCCCATGGCCCCATATTCTCACACTTGTCAGACACGGGATTTTACCATTACATATGAAGTAATGCACACACCACCCTCTCAAATACTGGACATATATTATCATGGACATTAAGTTAAATGAATGCTGGAAACAATTGCTTATCTTATTAATGGATCATAATTAAAACAGCAGTCATGTGTTAACAGAAAATGTCCAAATATAATATATTTAAGGCAATATGAAAAAAATATGCACAAAATGAAACCAAAGATGCACCAGAATAAATGGAAACAGTAACTTGTAGTAGACCTGTTCATGGGTTGGGTGGCCCGACGGCCCGGCCCAGCTCCGGATGGGCTTGGACATATTATTAGGCCCATGGGCCCGGGCTTGGGCCCAATGACCTAAAGCCCAACTTAGTTTCAGGCCGGGCTCGGGATTTTACATGAAAGCCTGGCCCGACAATATTATATATATATATATATTATTAAAAATATAATAATATACATATTTTCTAAATTCTAACCCTAATTTTCATTCAATACTCTCCCCCAACCTGTTTCATTCGATAGACTCTCCCTCCTCAACCCTTCCACATCACAACCGGCGGTAGGTACCAGTGAGTGACTAAGGCCATGTTTGGTTCAATTCTCATTCTTACCCAAGATGAAATTCTAAAAATGGACAAGAATGGGTAAAAATAGGCTGAATGAGAAAATATTGCTATGAACCAAACAATGTTTTCCTAAAAATGAATTATTTTCAAACTAACAAGTGTCCTATGTTGCTCATTTTCATTCTTAAAAAAAAAAAAAAAAAAAAAAACTAACTGTGGCGGTATTCATAAACCGCTAGCCTATGTCTTCAAAACTGTTGGCATAGATGGTTATCGGTGGATGGCCGACATTCAATGTCTGTCAAGGTGAGTTTCCACAGTAGTCCACTACTAAATAGGGCTGCCAATTGGATTGGATTTGGTCCAAATCTGGTCCAATCCAATATTGGTCCATTTACAAATGGAGTGGACCAAATCCATACAAACCAAGTCCAATCCAATCCAAATAAAATGCAAATGGACCGAATTGGGTCCAATCCAATCCAAATTGAATCAAACACCAAAATAACATGAGAAATCTAGAAAACATATAAAAAAACTACAACACCTACTGCAATCCAATCTAATCCAATTAAAATGCAAACGGATTGGATTGGGTCCAATCCAATCCAAACTGAATGAATAAAAATACTTTTGTAAAAGTGCTTTCATAAAAGTACTTTGCTAAAAGTGCTTTGATAAAAGTACTTTGCTAAATGTGCTTTGACAAAAGTACTTTGCTAAATGTGCTTTGATAAAAGTACTTTGCTAAATGTGCTTTGATAAAAGTACTTTCATAAAAGTGCTTTTGTGAAAGTACTTTTATAAAAGTACTTTCGTAAAAGTGCTTTTATAAAGGTACTTCCGTAAAAGTGCTTTTATGAAAGTACTTTCGTAAAAGTGCTTTAATAAAAGTACTTTCATAAAAGTGCTTTAGTAAAAGTACTTTCTTAAAAGTGCTTTTATGTGCTTTCACAAAAGTACTTTTATGTGCTTTCGCAAAAGTACTTTTGTAAAAGTGCTTTCATAGAAGTGCTTTCATGTAAAAGTGCTTTTGTAAATGTGCTTTTATAAAAATGCTTTCATAAAAGTACTTTCATAGAAGTGTTTTCAGTTTTGATCGATTTCAAATTGGACAAGGTTTGGCAGAGTTTTGTAGGCAAAGTTTCCTCAAAGAATGAAAATGAGCAAGATGGGGCATGATTATTTTTCATGCTGTAGGCTACTCAATTTTTGTACTATGGGGATGATTTTTCATTCTAAAAAGAATGTGACCCATGGCAAGAATTTTATAACCAAACACCCTAATGTTATTCATTCTTGCCCATTCTTGCCCATAATGAGCAAGAATTAAAAGAATGAGGCCCAAAGTAGTGAACCAAACATGGCCTAAGCGCATTAGCGGTGACCAACAACTGGCGAAGCAGCGGACTCATCTCTTCGGTAAGGCGACGCCCCATCTCCCATTCTTTGAACCTGATATACATTAACAGAGTCAGAGGCGGCATCCCCATCCCCAATAGTGGTCGGCAGCAAAACAATCCTATTTAGAGTTGGGATTACACAGGTGTTTCGGGCTTCGGCCTTGGGCTCAAGCCTCGGTAGGGGTGCTCACAGTTCGGTTAACCAAACCGTGGGCCTTTTTTTTGTAACCAAACCGGTACTACCAACTTTTGGAAAACTGGTAACCGAAACCGAACCAAAGCCAATCAGTTAACTGGTTGACCGGTTCGGTTAACTGTCGATTCGACTCGTCGTTTTTTCGATTTTTTAATTTTTACAATATATATTATAAAATACATATAAATATATAATAAAAAATTATAAATATATATTTATATATAATGCATATTTATTAATTTATAATATATAAGATTTGGTTTGGTTTCGGTCATTTTTTCTGTTTTTTTTTTGCTCACCCCTAGGCCTCAGGCTTTTATGAGGGCCAGGCTCAGGCCTAAGATCTAGGCCCGATGGGTTGGGTTGGGCTCGGGCCTGAGTGTTTTATGTTCACAACAGGTGAAAGCTCGGCTCGAGTCCGACCTGACCCATGAACAGGTCTAACTTGTAGCAAGCATCCAATTAAAAATTAACCTTGAACAAAAAATAAAGAACTAGACTAGGGGTAAATTTTATCAGAGAAAAAGCAATTGCTTTGTGCAAACAATATGGGTGTGAATTCAACCAGACAACATTTATTCAAATGTAAGGATCATCATCAACAACATACAAGCATTTCGTTTTTATCCAAGATATCACCTAAATGA